GGGGTGGGGCGGAGAGCTTCACAGACCTTTTTGAAATTCTAACAAAAGCTATGGACCCAAACCCTGGAGAAACACACAAATGCATATGCACAAACATGCTTGCGGACTATTTCAGAGACTTGACGGACCCTCTAAATCTAGTCTTGCTAGATTAGAAACCGCTGCCTTCATTTCAATGGTTTGTTCATTCCTCCTCTGCAGAACTTCACTGCTGCAAAATGATTGTTTCACCATTTTTCTTATACATTTTATAAATAGAGCTCAGCTAAAGCACTGGACTCTTATGAATCAGCTAGGCATTGCCTGACCACTCAAGCACTTTATTACTATTTACATAATCACATTGGCTTCCTGTTTTATCAACATCTATATGAATGATCGATGAGACTCAATACGTTCATTCCATGTCACAGTGCATATGAGTGACATGTCCCCGGGCACAGCACAGTGCACAAAATAGTCAATGTCTTCAGTTAGTTTATGGAACTCAATTCCCTCAAGTCGAGGGGGAGTGAGCCCTAATAAGATTTTTGATACCGTTTTTCCCCCCTTGTGTGTACATTTAAAACTTTTAGCCACATTTGTTTGGCCAAATCAATCATGTAATATTTGGAATTCTTTCAAACTGCTTACAGCACCTGGTTCTGTACTTCCAGCATGGACTGTGCTTCAGGAGAGAGATTCCAACTTGGCTCCATAGATCATGCTACTTACAAACACTGAGAAGGGCATTCTTCCTTCGTGCGGAGTAGATAAGTTTGAGAAATAGAGATGATCTGTTTTAACTACTTGAAATGATCTTTATATAAATGGCAAACCTTTTCAGGTACTGTGACATATAATCCAACAAATGCAAAGAAACTGCCTTGTCTCTTCACCGAGGTGGTTTTATTTTAACTGGAGTGACATAATTAAATACAATAAAAGAGAAATTACATAACGAAATAAATATGTTTCTCAGTTCTGTGATATAATCTTCATAAGAAAATTAAAAATAAAATAACATTAGAACAGTCCATTCGAATGTTTTACAAACTCAATGTATAAAAGGCTGCAGAACAAGCCCCCCAGACACCATAAGCAACATTGGAAACAACTACTTACAAATAGGTTATGTGAAATCAGCACATCCCCAATGGTGGGAACAATCCATGTTAAACTTGGTTAAGTGAAATAATTTACAGAAGCAGTAAATATGGACTGAGAAATTGCAAAGAAAAGTGTCCAGCAAAGCCTCTCTGCAAAAGTTGATAAATATTGCATTAGAACAAACATCTTTCTCTAGCAAAACAGAAATCTCCAAAGCCTCTTTGAGATACTTTTTAAAAGCTGGATGAAGTGTCCCCTGGAGCACTTGTTGAGAGAGGAGTGTGTGAATAATTAAAGTTGGTCAGAAACTGGCATGTTTTTGAGGGGGGAGCAAATGATTTCTGATATATTTTTAGTCAGGGCTTTTGCGCATCACAATATGCTTTTCACCCCAAATATCTGACAGGTTGGCTACGAACCATGGAAATCACTTCCCGGTCGGACTGAACACAAACTCACTGGCATGGTTTGGGATCACTGACCTCCCTCTAGAAGCGTATGAATGAGTAGGCCTATTGCTATGTGATTGACTTGGTTATTTACAGACACTTTATATTTGAAGCTGACTAAAGAAATACAGATATTCTTAAATGTCATTAGTTAAGTCATTTCTTTGCAACTTGAAATAAGCTTAATGTAAATCCCTACTTTAGAAGATCATCTCTGATTGTATTATTTAATTTTTGGCTATTATGGTGTCTCTGATGTATAATAATCTCACAATAAACCAATATAGGTGGAAGATCACTGGAAATACATAAAATCATACCAAATATCAAGGGAATTGCTTTTAGAGATGTCCTGGTAGCCCTGGTAAAAGGAGTGGAAAGGCAATAATAAGAAAAATAATACTAGTGAACTAGTAATTTTGCTGTTTACAAATGGGCAATGGACATAAATGATTTTAAATATATATATATTTTTAAAATATTTGTGTTCAATAAATATAGATCAAGTCCTTTCTTTTCACAGAGTAAAATAAATAAAATTCAGTTGTGTACTTGATCCTTTTTAGTGAGCTTGTGATCTAGGATGTGGCAGTATTAAGTCCCTATGCCTTATGCCTCATTAAATATTAAGTCAAAATTGGTGACTGTACAAACATATGACTATAAATACGTGTTCAAATGCTCTTTAAATGATTAAAGAGAGGAAACGCACCACACTTGTTAGATCATCATAAAGTGGATGCTGACTGCTTTCTTTTTTTAGCCGTAATGATGTTATTGTTAATAGTCTTAGTAAGTGGCAATCCAGGCTAACCTTCCGCTGAACATCTCTTTACATTCTGCTCTAGAGCCACGTTTTCCAAGAATAAGCAGAGCGAGAACAAATGAGGAAACTGGCTCCAAGAAAATAACTTTCTTTTTGAGAGTCATTTGGGTTTTTCTTCACCCTCCAGCTTGAAAATCTGTTTGTGAAAAGACTAAAGAATATTCTTGAGAGAGCACCTGGTTGATTTACTACATCAAAGGGGACCTGAAGAGAACAGTTAAGAACTGAATGATTTATAAGTAAACGTATACATCCATTGGCATGTTTCAATGTAATTAACTTCTGTTAAGGAAACATGCTGTGTATTTAACTTATTACCTATTATCATTAACAATGAAGAGCTTATATTTATAAGCAAGTTAATTATGATATTTCTTATCTCACACAGGCCCCTCTGCACCAAGGAGTCCCGAGTGACTTGAGTGAGGAGATCACTTTGTGGGACAGAAGCTGCACAAGGCTGCCTGTTCTCTGACTTTCGCTTCTGCCATGGAGATGAGTTATAAACGTAATTATCGTGAACTAAGCATTGATTTGTGTGACAAAAGTATAATTACCAGCCCCGTGTGAACAAGAGCTCTGCAGCAGACCCGTTTCCAGGGGCTCACGCTCGGGATGTCCTGCCGCAGGCCTAGCAGGGCGCAACTCAAGCCTGGCGCTTTGGCCACAAGAGGAGGCGGAGTGGACGTGGTGTTAATAACTGCACCTTGGAATTCCTTGATTTAGGGTCAGATTCTTTATTGCTGAGATAAGGGACACGCTCGTTATGCATCATGAGTATATTTAGGAATCAAGGCCTCAAAGCATTACATCCACGCGAGACCCAGAGTAAAACTAGTGCCAGTCCACTTAACACCAGTGTGTTGAACTGCATCTTAAATAGTTTGATGAGGTACGAGAGAGAACAAACAAAATGGGAAAATGTTACTTTTAGCACAAATAGTTATAAAATAGGCCATGAAACAATCTGAACTTAAATACAGTAATACACTGAAAAGTATTTATCCCTAAAATATACTTTAAATAATACAGCAAGATAAAAAGTAGTAATTACCATCTTTACACCCATAAGCTTATTATAGTCAAGCAACACAACACCCTGTTGACAAACTTAAATCTTATTGAACTACCCCCATAAGTTTAGTGAAATCTCCTACTTTCCTGGTAGTACTCACTTTTGACAAATTCGTGGAGTAGCTAACTCCTTGAGTTGTACCATTTAACACTCTCTATTAGACCTGAACACGAAACATTTTTTTCCACTTAGATTTTCTTAGACTTGGCTTGGGTTTTATAAGCCTGCCTTTGGTTTTATCTTTGAGGTAAATTTTTGCTGTTCTGAGTCTGTTTGTCTGAATGAGTTTTCTCTGTGTTTATCTTGTTCTTTACTCAGTTTAACTAAAGTGACCAGTTACTCTGGCTTGATCTCGTTGAGAAAATGTTTGGGTGCACCACCCAATGAAAATGAAGACATCCATCTGTCTTGTTTCCTGAGACTTCTAGTAGTTAAACACATTTAATGTAATTAATGCTACCTTTATCAGTCAACTAATAAATAAATACAATTCAAAAGGCTAAGTCACTTTGAAATACCTAGGCATAAAATATATAAAATCAATTCTTTTCTCCCTCTCCTTCTCTTGGAAGCCTGTGCAGGCTCTAGAGGAAATCATGTAAAAGGAGGGTGTGCTCCTCAACACTACAGTGTTAAGAGAGAACACTGGCAAACAGGACATAAACACTGTGTCTAAGAGGGTGGACATGAACAAATGTGAAAAATAATTTAAGAACAAAAGCAATGAGCAAATCTGCAAAACTTTTATGAGAATTCATTGAGAAACTTAAGCATATAACTTAACCGAAGGATTCTCAGTCTCAGGATTTTATTACCAATGTTAGGAAAATTAAAATGGTATTTTGAAAAATGCTGTTCCTCATCTTATTTTTGTGAAGAGTGATATAGTCCTAGAAAAACATAAATATTACACAAGTCTACTTGTAAAATGTTAAGTACATTAAGCAATATGAAGATTTAGACAGTGTGTAATTTTATAAATGGTCAATGTCTTGTATTAAGCTAAATGCTTTTTACCTGTCTGTCAAAACAGAGTGTATAACCTGTATAAAAAGTAGGATGATTTCTTAGGTGTTTTCATGTTAATCACTAAAATACGAGGGCAGTGTACAAACAAAAGTTACAAATAGTAAATTTGCAAGTTAACTAGGTCTATAAATCCACTGAAGAAATAAAATTGAAAGAGCTAACAAATCAAAGGTTATTCTGTCTGCTTCAAAGAGATACTTAAAATGAGAAAAAATATAAATTAACAAAACAAATTAATAAAACATAAATTAACAAGAAATTATTTACAAAAGTAAAAAAAAAGTGCAAAGGCAAAGGTCTGATTTAGTGCCGTCCACTAAATGGTTTCTACCCTTGTATTTCTGCAAGTCTGTTCAGTTCTGACACAAATTGCTTTTAAACACCATCTTGTGGACAGAAGGAGGTATATCACAGGTTCTCAACAGAGGAGAGAGACTGCAGAAAGGCTAAGTCTTACTTAACTCCTAAAACATACTCTTAAATATTATTTTATAATCTAAACATCAAGTGACAACTTTTACAGAGAACACATGTTAAGATAATTACTTAAGCTCCATAATATGACTGACTAAAATTTTAAAGCCTCAACAATGTCATGAAATATAGAAATAAGCATATGGGACTAAAATCGTTAACTAAATTACTTTGATCGCAAGATGAAAAATTTCAAAGGTTAAGACTGGCCATGTTTCTGTTACGTTTAGGAAAAAACGGTTAATGTCTCCAGCAGGAAAGGGCAATGAACAAACTCATGAATGATTTTTCCTTTTTTCTTTAGATTTCAAAGGCCATAAATATTAGTTGACGTCACACCTGTTTTTTTGCATAGAAAGATTTCTATCTGAAATTTTAATTTATCTCAGTATAAAAGGTTTGACTGGAATTCAAAATATGTATATCGGGCAAACATGATTTTAATCATTAATTGCCCTCATGGCCTGTAATTATTTTGTATTTGAACACTTATATTGTCTGGAGTCCAATCGAGATCAATCAGGAAATTTGATAATTTCTCTTTCCTGCCATGGGCGTTACATCCACGTGAAAGTGAGCAAGGGTCGTGGAATGGGATACAATGATACGAGAGCAGGCGACCACCAGTTATTCAGGAGAGAATTTCCCACCCTCCTTCAGGTCCTAAATTACCCACTTTCTTTTTGATTAAGGACAAAATTAGGCAAATGCCGAATCTCCACTTTATGTGGTGTTTATATTACTGGAGCCAGCCTCGCGTACCATGTGCACAGAGACGAGGCAGGAACAAGTGTGGGAAGAAAAGCAGAACAGGGGCATGAGAAAGGCTCGTCCACGGGGACACGGCCCCATTTCTGTGGTTTTGCCAAAGGTATATCTAGTCACGTGTGTTGGTTATAAAAAATGAGCTCGAATCATTGTGACAGCTCTACTTGGTAACACACATCATACACCATTATTATATTCTCCCCTCCCAGCTTAAGTCATCTGAATAAATCCAAATTCTGGAATAAACCAGCCCAGCATTAATGGAATTTAGAAAAAAAGGGAAAGGTTCCTACATACGCAATTTGTAAGAAAGGATGCATGACATAGTCTGTGGAATTTAAATGAGCAGAAGTTATGAAACAAAGAAATGAATCAAGTCTTTTGATGTAGATGAAAGGGTCAATCCAAAGAAAACAGAAAAATACACTGATCATCATCAGCAAAAAGAGTTCACGAAAACATTAAGATGCCAAAATAAATACTTCTGGATTAGCAAAGAGGCATATGGATAAACAACCTATTGATATGAACAAATAATCTCTGAAAACATAAAATGTTTCGCTTTATGACAAATTCAAGTAAATTAATGAGTGGCATCAGATGAGTCGTAAGCCTTCAGAAAAGTCAACACATTTAAAGTTCAACAAATTAAAAGCTCAAGATATACACATAGCACCAGATTTAGATCTCTGTATATATTTTTGGGATAAATTATCATTTTACTAAAAAAAGCATATGTATATTCCAATTGTTTAAGTTTAAAACACAGCACCATTGTCGGTATTGCACAAGAAAGAGAATGAAGAAGAAAATCATTTTAAAGTTTAAAAACACTTGACATAAATAAAATAAGCTCGGAAAGTAAAATAAATAAACTTGGAACTGAAATATACAACGTAATTCCATATGAAATAATCAAAAGGTTGTATGCACGCACAGCCATGTAGACGGTACCTGACCAGCAGTTCATTCATCTACAGGGAAAACCCGTTCAGCTCGTGGGCGCGTTTGTACAAAGCCTGTCCTAACGTAGGCACACTCCCTACCAACTCTGTTCACAGCTTTTCCAATTTCAGGGGGTTGCCTTTCTAAACTCATTTTTTAATGAACAGATGAAAGCAGTCATCCTAGCCTGCTTTGGCCACGTTGGAACTGGCACTGTTCCTTGAAGAGGTGTGACCTCCTGGCCTCTGCGACAGGAGGGCCGTCCGCGGCATGCTCCCAGCATCTGTGGGACCCATTCCTGAGATTTCAGCAACCTCCTCATGCCCGGTGTCCTAGAAGATCAGCTGCTTTCAACACACAGTTTCTCAAAATAATGTATAGTCAGGCAATAAAAGCCCAGTGAGGGATCTGGTTGGTGGGCGCTCCCTTTTCACTGCCTGGCGGCAGGCACGGCCTTCTGCAGCCCCGGTGGTCGCCCCGAAGGCCATGCTGACTCTGGCCTGAGTGCTGGTTGCATCTTCAGGCCCACGGCTTTTCCTCGCTGCCCTGCGCCTCTTGCTGAGCTTCTGGAGAAACGTGCTTCTCCGTAAGGGCTTCTGGGCTTCACGTCCACCTGCATCTGCCCACAGCACACATTCATCTTCCAGGGACGGGCCTTCTCTTCCAGTCGCTACCAATGTCGTCCTCGGTTCCGATGGCTGGGTCTTGTCGTAAAGTCTGAGAGTGATGAGGTCAGAAGGATAATGGATCCAGGGGCCCAAAGGTCTTGCTGATACCAAAGACAGCTTGGTGCCTTCACCACCAAAGACCTCTTAGGGAAAACAGCTTTCTGCTTCCCAGCGGAGAAATTCAGCGAAGGGACCACAGCTGGCTTTTCTTGTGGAACTCGGGCACAGCTGGGCTGCGGTCCTGCCTCGTCACGCTGTACGAGTTCATGCCGGTGATGACTGCTTTGAATCGGGCTCATGACACAGAATTAACAAAATCATTTCAGTAGTAGGCTATGGCAAGTTTTTGGGCTCCCTGATAAAACAGCCTCCTGTTTGTTTGTTTTTTTTCCAAAATATAAGTTATAAAGTGAAACTCTTATTGCCTATCTATTTCTCTGCATAAGTAGGATGGATGTAGGATGGTATAAGAATTCTTAAGCTATAAAAAGTAGTCAAAAAATATTCAGCAGGAGCAATGCACTATATCAAAAATGATGAAAATTTTAGCAATAACAGTAAATGTAACCACCAAGAAAACCTCAAGATAAGCTGAAACTTTAAAATTCAGAAGTCAAAGGCCAAATACAAGTTGATGAGACTACAAAACGTACCTCACCATTAGTCTACTAAATCATAAAATGTAATTTTCTCTCAAAGAAGAACTAATGATATGATTTGCTTATGCATTTCATAGAAAACCCTGAATGAAATCAGTAATGGTGAAGCAAACATATGGAATGAATTTGGAAAAAAAGTCTAAAAATGCTGATATCGCAATTACTATAGGAAAGGATTCAAATTGTTGCTTTTAATGTCTGCCTACACCAAAAAAAAAAAGAGAAAAAAAAGAAGCCACCCACATATCATGAGGGTTTGACAGTATTGAGATAGCTCCAACAGCAAGAAGATATCACCCAAAATCAAGTCTTCCTCAGGTGTGTTTACTTCCCACCTGTCCGCTGACGGGCATGAGATACAGGGTAGAGGCAATCTTCTGGGTTACATCTTCCACTAGGTCCTGGGGGTCCCTGGGGACCTGGGGCACCTGGTGAGCCTGGTAAACCCGGAGCTAACGAAATAAAAGACCCCATCAGAAGGCAGACCACATGTGACTTTCTCCCTCACTCCAACCAACATGGGTTATTCAACTTCTCCTGTGGCAACACATAGGGGCCATAGGGGAAAAGGCATGGTTTCTGACTTTAGAAGCTTGTTTGTGTTGTGAAGATAAATATCACTATTACCTGAAGTCCCAGGAAGACCCGGGCTCCCTGGAAGCCCAATTCCAGGTTCCCCTCTTTCTCCTTTCTGTCCTCGGTAGCCTAAGGGGGAAAGATAGAAAAAGAGAGACACAAAAGTAAGAGAATTCTATGGCAACACAGCACAAATAAGAGCCATGTTTCTAGTCTAGGATATTTCTGTAATTTGTCCACTTAACATATAGCTCTAATATACTATTTTAGCTATCTGTTTTGTATTAACCGCATATTAAACTTACACACCTAACAGATTAGATGCAATAGGCAATGAAGATCTTAAAAATATGCAACCACTATAAAAAGAACAATTAGTCAAACATTTGATAGTGAGATTTTGGGCACTGAAAATGCTACATAAGTAACTCAACTCAATCATTCCAATCTTCTTTCAAATGTGATGACAAGGGGTGTGAGCCATTTTCCATGGGAATTCTATCTAGAGGGTAGGTGCAGGCTAAATATAAATATACTGAAAGAGTGCTGCTTACTACGAGGACAAAGTAATGTGACAACAAGAAGCCAGGCCTTAGTCTAAGAATTACAGGGAATGAAAGGAACAAAAGCTCATAATTTATTTTTTTTAAATATATCTTTATTGATTTGAGAGAGAGGAAGGGAGAGGGAGAGAGAGATAGAAACATCAATGATGAGAGAGTCATTGATCAAGCCCGCAACCCGGGCATGTGCCCTGACCAGGAATCGAACCCCAATCTCCTGGATCCTTGGTCGACGCTCAACTGCTGAGCCACGCCCGGCCGGGCCAAAAGCTCATAATTTTAATAAATGCCAGGAAGAGTGTGAATATACAAGGGTGGGCAAAAGTAGGCTTCCAGTTGCATTGTGACATTCTTTCGAGCTAATAAAACTATTGTAATAATCACAACCTGTATGCCTTTTTCCCCGTGAACAACTGTAAACCTCCTCTGCGCACCCCCGAATGTGAACGCACCCATCTAGGAGTCAGGAGAGGGCGAGACCGGGACTGTGTTCCGACGGCTGCCTCGAGCACAGGCTCCCCTTCCTGGCGAGGCTCACGCAGCCTCCCCACGCTTAGCACGGCCGCTCCTAACCCCACGGAGGGAGCTGCCGCAGCTCCCGAGAGCAGGAGACTGAGGGATCCCTCTAAAGTCACTTCGTCAGTTTAAGGTACTTGAACCAAAAGGAATCAGGTCTAAGATTTCTGTGCACTTTAAGATTAAACTCATTCCTATTACTGAGCACGCCTTTTGTCACCTCAGGTAGAAAGGTACAGAGCGATTTGTGTCTCTGGGAGGCCTTAATCCTGCTTTAAAATTAAGGCAGCATAAGGTGTTTTTAATCTGTTTTATATAATGGCAACCATGTAAGACTTTGAAGAAAAGGTTCTGTGGCTTTAAGAGTTTCACAGTGATAGTAAATAGAATTTTAATTTCCAACTTTTTCATACTTAAACAACGGCTCTTGGTCGTGGGTGAACGAAGCAGTCATGCAGAATCATGGAGACACACAGCAAGGCTATTAAGTAGGAGAGTATCTCAGTAGGAAACAATAGGCCCTAACTACGTGCCTGTCTATAAAGGTGTGTTATTACAGCTGAACACAATAGGAGAAAAAGTTTTAATTTTCTCTATGATAAGTATATAGGACAAATTATTTCCCATTATTGCTCAGAATTAGACATTAGTTTGGGGGTTACCAGTCTTGACTTGACCATATAGTGTATACATTATTATTCAAATAACATTAGCGCTGTAATCACCGCATCATTATTTCTTGGCTTTGGAGGCGTGACCTGACCATAAATGTGAAAATAGAGGAAAAAGAATATATATTCAGGATATATTTTGAGGTGCATGTTAGAAATACATCCAATGGGAGCTCTTCACACTTATAGCTGAAAACTATGTTATAGACGTTCAATACAGTCCTAGATCCTAGAGAGAGCAGTGGCCTGAACATGTGGCCCAATAACCCTAAGCTGACACATATTCAACTTTAAAATATACCCAGGATTTCTTGTATGTAAGTGACTTTCATTTAACACATATAAACAACAAGAAAAAAATGTTTGTACTTAGGGTCACTTTAAAAGCACCCTTTCAAATACATTATTTAAACTTTTCTGTAAAAAAATAACATTTCATGCCTCAGGTATATTTGATAGTACAAGCTAGGTTTTACTGTTACAGAAAGATTATAAAGTTTACTTTCAAGTTATCTCAGTAGGTGCTTAAGATCATAGGCTAAGAAAATGACAAAGAAAGAAAAATAACTAAAGATATATGAACTTTTGATTAATAAGAGGATTAACAAGACTATAACACAATTCCAAATGAAGAATATATCTGCTAAAACCTATGTTTTTAAATTCAGTTCTCAGATCTTAATTAAGGCAAAAATATATTATTCCACATGAATTTAAGTGAACACGGTATCAGAAAACAAGAGACAATAATTTGTATACTTGTATAGGAGGTAACATTTACACTTTTCCTGTCAAATGTAATAATTAATTTGCCGAAATCTCTCAGCTCATTAGGTTAATAACAACCTACTATTAGTAGACAAAGCTGTTGAATTGCACAAGGCCCCACACTCATCACGTACGAAGGCTGCCGTAAAGTCACAGGGTCTTCTTTTATAATTGCCTCACAACAAAACTTCAGATTGGAATACTAATTAAGTCAACAGCATCTTTCCTACTTTCTAGAATTACGCTTTTCACCCAGTTAGGGTAGGCCTCACTTGAGATTTGGAAAAGACTAAAAGGCGGGTCTCTCTGTGCAAATGAACATGCATTTCCATGGCCTCAAAGTGTGGAGGGTGACAGTGTGATATCACGGTAGCCTATGTAGGAAAACAGAAACCCAAAACAGTGTCCTCATCTAAAGCGTCTAGAGGCACTAGTCAGTGAGGAAACTCGGTGCTGCTGTAGTTTTACAGGTGGGAGTCTTTATTTCCAGTAGGGAGATTTCCATTTCAACTCCAGGGACATTCTTCCAAAGCTATAAATCTGTGCATCTATATGCATACTGGACAAATGAGACCAGTAAAGGAGTGTTACTGGCATTTTTGGAGGGACAATTCTTCATGTGGGGCCTGCCTCAAGCCTCATAAGTTGTTTGGCCTCCCGGGTCTCTTCTACTAATGGACCACAGCGCCCTTCAATCATTTTGACACGCACATGCCTCCCATTACCTAAGCCCCCTACTGCTGACAGATCTGAAAGGTCAAATCTATATCAATCACATGAACCACCTTATGGGCCACTGGCTTACAAATAACAGCAACTTTCCTTCATTATAAACCAATAACAGCTAAACTTGAAAAGTTCCAAAGTAAGAACAATCATTCCCAATAGTGTCTTTTCAACATGGGTGGAGAGTACATGAAATGGCTGGACCTGTTTTCTCCTAACCCACATCCACGCAGTGGGGTTTTTTCCTGAGTGGACCGGGCTTTCGAGAGTGGCATCTGTTCTTCTGGGTTTTCACAGAAGTGAGAACCAACTGTGGTTTGAAAAACATTTAAATAAAATCCTTTCTCCTAAAACTCGTTCGAGAGGCGAAGGTCTGTTAGGAAAATGCGCCTCTCTTGCTCACACATGGGAAGCCAGCTGGACGGAGGCTCTGTGATCCTAGGGGCACAGTCTCGCTCACCCCAGGCGGGAAGCAATCAGCCCCCATGCTGCAGGCCCGAGGCGGGAATGCCCACCACGGAAAGTGTCCTCAGTGGCAGCGGGAAGCAAGGATCAGAAACGCACGGGACGGTCAAAACATAAAACTGTCTGGAAATGCCTCTGAATTTTACAAAGATGCCAACAATCACTCACTTTGAGAATTTAGGGGAAAAAGCAAACAAGGTGACCCAACTCAAGTCAGAACGATTCACTCTTTTCACTGCGAGATCAGGGTGCGCAAAGAGGGTCCCCCAGTTTTCATGACCACAACCTCGGTGGGAGCAGTAACTCCCTTTTCCAAGTTGGATTGCATGCTTCTAATACTCTCGCGTTGATTTTCTCCTTGCTCTTTACATGTCTTCTGCTTTTCAAAATAAGCACAGGAAACGAATGAGACAGACCCCTTCACATTTCTGTCCCTCCCTAAACACAGAAATATAATAAAGGACTCGTTCTATAGTGCATATTTCAAATCACACCCCTTTACTTCAAGTGAAAATGGATTTCTTTTCTGAAAAACACTGAAAAACGAATTCTTTTAGAAATTTCAGAAGAGCCACCATCAAACAGAATTCACACTCGGGCAGACACACTGCTGCTCAGCGCCCGCACCTCTCCCCTCTGGGCCGCGGTTCTACATACATTTCTTTTGCTCCTTTTCGAGAAAACTTTTATGTCGAGCGGAGCAAAGCTTTGAAGCTACACGTATACTTCATCTTCTGAGCACTTCATATCTATTTATCCCTCAGAGAACAGTGCTTCAGTTCCTTGTGAACTTCTGGGGAGGAACCAAAAAACAAGCGGCAGCCCCTCGGTTTCCTTCTCAGAATGAGATTTCTTTGTGGCCTTAGGGAGGATTATCAGGATAGCATGATACAGGCAAATATGCCTTGAAAAATGCATCCTGTAGTTTGCAGGGTTTATTTTTCTCCTGCATTTCTGGCATTTAACAAATACTGAAAAGGAGATATCAGGCAAACACTGAGGAGCCACCCAGCTGGACGGTAGTCAAGACGTGTCTGTTGTCAGAAACTCTCAGGTGAGACCAAAGTTTTGTCAACCTCACTAATCCTTGGTTTTTAAAAAAGTTGAAAATCATTCAGGGAAGTCTTTCAAATTCAAGAATTGCACCCGAAATCCCTATCAGGAGCAGAAGCAGGCTGTAAGATCTCCTTGGCAGGACAGCAGGTAAAACCCACAGAAACCCCTCACAAAAAAGAAGGGAAGTCATGTGGTGAGTAGGAGTCTGGTTTCCAAAAGCTTGGCTGACACTGTGGACTCAGCTGTCAGGGAGCCTTCCAGGTGGTCCTTCCCTACACGGGAAGGGGGCCTGGAAACAGGTGTTGTGTGGACAGGTGACTGCAGTTCCAGAACAGTTTTCCTCGATGTCCTGGCTTTCCATTGCCCTTGCCCTCTTAGACTGCCACTGTTCGAAGCATCTGTTCAAGGTTTTTCTCCTACAGTCATTATTCTTCATGCCTTCTGAGGCATCATATGTCTTCAGATGGGCTTTCAAGCTCTTCCTTCCAGTCTCATAAGCTCCGACTTCAGAACAGACCCAACTAACAAAAGATCATGATGAACCACCCTCTGCACCACAGTGCACACAGAAGGCTGCACCTGATTCTACACTTTCCCTCTATCTGCAAACCTCTCTACGATCAAAGGGAAAGACAGAATGTACTGTTTAGGTAACTAGAGTGATTTTACTATTGTTGTTTTACAGTGTGCTCATGAAACCAGAAGCCTTGTCACTCTCGATTATAAGTTGGGCTCCTGTGATTGGGGATAGTTGTTGCTCTTTCCGATGAGAGAGGGCATGTCATTCACCTTGGGCCCTTCCTACAGAAAACAAGGCTCAATGTTACAGAGGAGCAGTAGGAAGGAAAGTGAACCAGTGAAAGGAAAATAATTCTCTGCATATATGGCCCTGTGGACTGTATTCCTATGTAATTTTGTTGTCAACTTTCTCTTTTTTCCTAAACAAGCTTTTGATGATTTCAAGGAGGACTCTTGAGCTCCATGGTAACACATGAAAAGCAGTTTCCCTGGTCTTCTCTCTCACAGTATGTACTCAATGGATTTAATATTTCCTTGTTGGAATTGTGAATCTTCTAAACCAGGGTCCATGTGGCCTCCTCTGCTGATTGCTAACCTCTTTCTAGAAAGTGGCTTTGCCAGATCGGTTTAGTCAAGCTACATCCCAGATTTTATCTGTCAATTTTTCCCCCCAATTTAAATAAAGTCTTACTTTAAAAATTTTAGAAACTCTATGAGAAATTCTTTAAAATTCAAAAGCTACCATCCACAAGCTCTATTAAAGGGAGAGGGTTTTAAATTTTCTCAAAAATATATTTTAGCCCCAAATCACTACTTATAGTAGCTTCTTTTAAGACTTTTTCCTCAGTTTCTTTAAGATATTAAGACGATGATTCTTGTTGTCTATGTACATCAACAGGGCAGCAAAAACAATTCTGAGATTCCCAGATAGTAATGATATATAAGCACCTATTATTGCTGTTATTATCACAACAAATACTATTAAAATACACTTAGATTAGTGGATAATTATCAGTTAATTTTAAATTTGAAGAAGTAATAGTTAAAAATCTGTTTCTAGAATGTTAAACATTAATGAGATATTCTATATTAAATCATTTTATATAGACATGTACATCGCCTTAACAGTGATTAGCATGTTATAAATACTGACTGTTAAAGAACTGGTAAACAAATATTATACTTGAAGACTTACCTTGGGGCCCAGGGTCTCCTGGTGGCCCAGGTAACCCATCCTTCCCTGGTGGGCCAGGCCTCCCATGAGCTTGCGCAGCCAACATTGCTGCTGGTAGCTTGATTTGGGATAGGAACACAGCCATCCTCTCTGTATTGATGAAAGGGAAAATAAAATATCATGTTATGAAAATACTAGGTCAAAATTTTCAAATATTCTTTTACATGAAATTCAACACCACCATCCTCTCCCCCCATTTAGCTATTTAGCTTTCAATTTAAGCACATCTAATTTAGCAACCAATCTGATTACTGAGAGGTTTTTGTGGGGGTTTTTGTGTGTTCTTTTTTTGTCAGTTAAAATGGATTGCACAAAGTTGTTTGAATATAGATGCAGTCCAGCTGTGCTGATCACAAGATTTGATATTTGTCAGTGCTTCAGAGAGGGAGCCGATCTAGTGGACAGAACAATAAGTCAGAATCTAACAATTACCAGNAAGTCAGAATCTAACCAACCTCTGGTAATGCTTGTGGAGAGAATTTAGGTTCATATTAAAAAATGGTTTTGAATAAATTTAAGCCACTTTCTAACAATCTTGTTAATGTATGTGTGGTGATTGAAAATATGTTCACAAATTCTTGGACATGCTCTTCCAAATGGAATCAGGTGGAGCCTAGTTCCCCCACTCTCAAGTGTGGCCTGGAACTTACTTTTCATTTCTAATAAATAGGAAAAAGCAGAATTGACAGGGTGTAGCTAGGGAAACTAAGTCATACAAGGCACTGTGACTTCCTGGCTGCTCTCTAGATTTCTCATCTTGGGGGAAGCCATCTGCCATGCAGTGAGGACACTCAAGATATCCCATGGAGAGACCCACATGGGGACAAACTGAAGCCACTTGCAAACAGCCACATAAGTAAACTTGAAAGTGGATCTTCCAGCCCCTGTCAAGCTTTTAGATGACTTCAGCTCTGGCTGACGTCCTGACTGACTTTGTTATAGACCCTGAGCCAGAACCACACAACTAAGCAACCCTTCAAGCCTTTGACCCACGAGATAATACATTTATTTTAAGCCACTAAAGTTTTGTGTTATTTTCTTTTTTAAAATTTTTACCCAATGATATGTTTCATTAATTTTAGAGGAGAGAGGAAAGAAGGGGGGCGGGGAGAGAACATGGATTGGCTGCCTTTTGTATGAGCCCCAACTCGGGTTTGAACCCAAAACCTGGGCATGTGCCCTGACCAGGGATCAAACCCGAGGTCTCCCAGTGCACTGGGTGACACTCCAACCAACTGAGCCAGCAGAGTTTGAGTTAATTTTTTATGCAGCAATAGGTAATGCATACAGTATTGGGTACTTTATATTTCTGAACAAAACTGCATTATTAATCATGAGGTATAGTTATTGAAAAGATGGTCACTGGCTGCATATTGACTATGATTTGACTGTTTTAATTTCTACACTGGGCAAATATTGTACTTTGCCAACATCTAATTTTTGCTTTTTAAAGAAAATGTCTCATACACCCTCAATATCATTAATTTTTTCTGGTTCGATTCCTAACTAGTCAGTCCTATTATTTAGCCAAGGTTTTAGTAAGTGGGAAGGATGTCTGATGTGTCCAAAGGAAAAAATTCACCATTAGCGTGCAGATCAGCACGTTTCACAGAATTCTGATTGTAGACAGAGTGAAAACAACAAGTTTCCAGACATTTCTGTGAGCCTGAAGAAAACACCGAAACTCAAAACACACACGTTATGGGAAGTGGACAAATTATCCAGAACATTTGCAAATGCCAAAAAAAACACCCACATCTTTTTAAGTGTTGAATGATATGACCTTTAGGAAGCAAACACTTCCTAAATAAGCATCGCTGCCTTCTCAAGGAACATATCATTGTCATTTGCCATTTTGTTCATCTACCAAACTGCCTGGAGCCTCACCCTGCTCATCTGGGTCCTAAAGAAAGAATCCGGAGGAAGAGGGGACTGTGTGAAGGCGCCTCCCCAGGTGAGCTGTCACTGAGAGGATCTTTGTAGGTGGAGCTGGGGGCATGTCACTGTTAATACTTAGAGACTTATCAGTAAGTCACCAATGCTTTGGGATGAAAGTGAGCGTACACTATAGAACATTGGTGTGCTAATAACTCATGAAATTGAAAGGATTTGGAAAATGAGGAGGTTCAAAGACAATGTGCATATGAAAATATAAATAAAGAACAGTCACTCTAAAATAAATAAAAAAACATATTATTAACTACATTAAACGCTGTCTGTAAGCAGGGCTCGTATTGGGCATTTTATACTTTCTGCACCCAGTGCTCTTACTCAGGAGTCACAGGGAGCACATGAAAGAGGTGACCTTTTCAGTCAGAACTATTACCCATACTTTACAAACCCCGGAGCCTAGAAAGATCATCTGATGATAAGCTTTATTTTAAGATCTGTAATCTGTTGTACAATATGATTGTAAGACATTCCTTCCTAGAATTATTTTTTAAATAATCACTCCAAGATTACACTTATTATTATAGAATTCTTGGTTATTAATCCCATACAGACCACTGTTCAGTTAAATTTTACCTCAAAAGCATATTCAATATTTTACTACTATATGGAATTAATTTGGTAAAATCATTAATGCAAATTCACCAAAAATCAATTATAAATACAATCTGTCATTGGATTGTTTATTCAAACTTGCTTGGTTTGTTTATATTTTGTATATCTCATTTAGCAAATCTAGTATATATATAACTAGATTTAAAACAGGACTAGAGGCAGGCAATATGCTTGCCAGAACAAATACAAATTAACCACATTCTTTTTTTTTCTTTTCACATATTTTCTTCAAAGGCAAATTCAAATGATTTCTGCAAAACTAACTTACACACAATTTTTCAAGGATACATCTAGTGTGTAGTAAGAAATGAACATTTAATGTGAAAAATTCAGCATAGGTTTGATGTAGACAAATCTTCCAGAAAATGCTTATTGATTAAATTAGTGTTCATTTGCAAGTGAGGGCCAAATGACAGAAACATTCTAGAAACTATAGCTACCAGTTAGAGAAAACAAAGGCCAAATCCTACAGACCTTGAAAAGAGTTACTTCGATTTTCTCCAGTCTTTTCATTCATTTTAGTTCATTTAGTTAAAATGTAAAGGCACATTTTTGCTTAAACAAATATGAAGTTTTTACAAATTTTTGATAAAGAGCAAATTACTCCCAAGAAAAACCTACTGTTCAATGGACTTTAAATAAAAAGAACTTGTTTTTAAAAAAACATAGGTCCATGCACATGTTTGTTTAAGAAAGTCAAATAAAAATTTTTTTCAGGTAGAATTATTGAGGGAAAAGCCCCAACAAATGCGGAGTATTAGCTGAAATTATCAAGAGAGTCGTCACCCTACACTCACATTCTCAAATCACAAAGTAAGCAGAATGAAGACATTACAAGGCCCCTAGGACCAGAACCTCTGACTGCTGGTTGAGTGACAGTGATGGGAGACCAATGAGGATCTGAGGAAATGACTGGCCTTTCAGCAAAGCTTTTTATTACCTGACTATCCATGCCTGGGGCAGGTTTGGTTGATGTTAATACACTTGTTTCCATTAACAGATAAAACACATTCATAATTAATATATAGTCATAACTTTGCAAATCATTACATTGAATGTAGTTATAACTTTATTATATTACATTGTAAACTGGGTGTTTTATAAACACATATGAAATTCAATGCTTATAGCTTGAAACTTTGCACACTGTTGTTTTGAATTTAAAAAATACATATTCAGTACANTTATAAACACATATGAAATTCAATGCTTATAGCTTGAAACTTTGCACACTATTTGTTGTTTTGAATTTAAAAAATACATATTCAGTACGATTTTTTTAACTTAAGACACATCTCTTTGAATGCCTTCAATGTCTAAATGCAAGTATTCACAGTACTAATTTTTCCTCTTTCATATATGAATTAAGTTTACAAGTAATTTTCTTGGAGCGGTTTTTAATATTTTTAGTAAAGCAGATTTTTAAAAAATAGTTGCTTCTAGCTGTAAATTATCTACCTTTAAGATATGCTCAGAAATAGTTATTCAGCATAAGGGTAATTACTTCTTCTGAACCCTACTCCAATGCTCTATAATTTAAAATAATATGTTTCTGAACCTCTAAATAAATTGCAAAGACCTGTATTTCTTATCGCTTTTCCTCTGTTTTCAGGGATCCTTCATCAATTAAACTGTTTTTGGCTATGCTTTCTAATGAGGCAGGAAATTGAAGAGTTCAGATAGGAGCTTGCATAAACCAAACTCACATATTCCGTCTGCCAGGGCAAACCCACGGCAGTCACTCTAACAAATGAGACCAGTGGCTTGCTTTCCCTGGAGAATGAGCTCAGTAATATAATGCAGACATTAATATTAATGAGAAATTACCTATACAAAGAAGGAAGGGACGTTCAGATGTCATCTAGCCCACATTTACCTTCAATTTCACAGATAGAGTTTGTAAATATTTTCAAAGAGAGAAATTCATCTTTTTCTCCTAATGCCCATTCAAATGTTTAATTGCCCATTTTCTCGGTATAGCTTCAACTTATTTTCTTTTGCTAGCCCATAATGGAAACAGAGAGTAGTTAATGAGTATTTCTCTTGGGAAATCAGTCATATGCTTAAAAATATTGTTACCTCTTAGCCTTCAGGTTAAACAACTTTTACTCATAGGCTTGGTCACCTGTTTTATAAATCACTTTTTGGTTCCCCCTATTCCAGGGCTTTTCCATACATTTCTTAAATGTGGAAACCCAAACTAGATACAATTCTCTCCTAAGGGACAAACATATCAGAAGAGTAATTTCCTTTCATATCTTTTTTTAAAAATGTTTTTCTAAAATTGATTTTTAGAGAGAGAGGAAGGGAGAGGAAGAGGGAGATAGAAACATCAATGATGAGAGAGAAACATGGATCGGCTGCCTCCTGCACGCTCCCTACTGGGGATCGAGCCTGCAACCTGAGCATGTGCCCTGACTGGGAATCAAACCGTGACCTCCTGGTTCATGGGTCGCTGCTCACCCACTGAGCCACACCCGCTGGGCTCCTTACATATCTTAATAATTACTTTCTGATTTCATTTT